TTTCTTCTAACACTACATTCAAGACTACTAAATAAATTTCCCATGTCCATTGGGAAGTTTAGCAATTCTTTGATTTAAAATATGAGCCTCACACAAGCACCTTCCCAGGAGTCTCATACCTTTTATGTGGCAATATTCTGGACATACCAGATCTGGGGGCCTCCAGATATTCAACTCAAAACGCATTGATGTTGTCTCCTCAAATGGTGATGAAACGTTTGCAGCCAAATGGCCAAGCTCGGAGCTCAAACCAACAGCCTAATATATAAAATGGCTTGTATGTCATCATGGCCTGAAAATTGTTGGTTAAGGAACCAGGTTTTGGGTTTTACTCTGTTTTTCATTGTTGTTGTGAGTTACTCAAAGTTGTGTTTTGTGATGAGCAGCCATACTCTTAAATAAATAACTCGCCCTCCCACACACCCCTGACATACCCCTGATGCTGGAGATATGACCTCTGTGTGGAAGACAAAGCTAAGTCCTTCAAAAACGTGGTGGCTGTTAACTACGGGTGTTGGAAGAAATGTCCTTCTGGGTTCAGTTCCAAGTGGGGAAAAAGACACTGGAAACACGGTGGCTACTTGGAAAGATGGTTTTAATGGTGGACAGGATCACATGCCTTGAAAATCTTGGGTGAAGAGGGGAAAAAAGGGAAGAGATGCTGAGAGTGCCTGGGTTTTATGCCCTCTCTGGGTTTTTGAATTTGAACTTGTATTCTGATTGGTTGTCAGACTTCCACGGGGCCATGCAGGGGTAACTTTGTCGGTTGTCTTTTTGAGTCCCAAGCTTGGTTGAGCCTTGCTGGGTGATGATGCAATGAAGGGGCTTTGGGCAATTCCTACTATGGCTCTGCCTGAAGGAGGTAGACCTTTGTTATGTAGAATAGACTGGCCCAGGCCTTCATGGCCCATCGACAAAAGTGTGGGGGAGGGGGCTGAGTTTCTGCCTCCCTTTTATGGGAAATATTCTGCCCTTTTAATATTTCCTAAAATATCTCATTTTCCTAGGAGAGGGTGGGTGCTATCTTCCTACAAAGGGGAGTGACTTCCAGGGTACAACTGCCTTCCATGTTTTACCTACTACTCCAATCTCTTCACCGGGGGTGGCCTCTTTACAACCTGTGGACTTCAACTCCCAGAATTCCCGAGCCATGCTGGAATTGAATGGCTTAGGAGGAATGCTGGGAATTGAAGTCCACAGGTCATTAAAGGGCCATCGTTGTTCATCCCTGCTCTTTGCTGTTGGGTTCCCTTAAGTCCTTACATTGCTAAACAAGGAGATCTTAGTCCTCGCAGCTGAATTGAACTGGCGTCATCTTCAGGGAAGGCTTCTTACTAATTAGCTGGTTAGTGTCAAGAACACTTAACTGGCAAAGTTGGATCAGGAAGTTTTCCAACTCTGCTCCTTCGTCTGAGGCTTTACTTGAACCTTGAAAGGGTCCCATTGGGGAGGCTGTTGATGGGGTGGAATTAGCATCTGGGGAGATGGCTTTGTCAACCAGGTTGTTTTTCTGGAAGGATTAAACAAGGTGCAAAGGGAGTTGTTAACTTTCTTGTCACAATCACAGCCCTCCGGTCTCCTGGGCTTCTTGAGTTCTTCCACGCCGGGGAGATGCCATCAACTTAATCGTTCTCTTCTTTGGGCGTGAAAAGGAGGGATAAACTGAGGCACTCTCCCGACCAACTTCTTCACCTGCCCCCAAGGTGTGTTTCTATTCTGAGATCAACGTGAACGTACAAAGTTGTAGGGATTTTTAACACTGCAGTTTAAGTTGGCTTTTTGACATTTTGACCATGTAGGTTTTTTAAGAGTTGGTCTTTGGAAGCAAAAATCTTCCTTCCTTCCTTCCTTCCTTCCTTCCTTCCTTCCTTCCTTCCTTCCTTCCTTCCTTCCTTCCTTCCTTCCTTCGTTTCCTTGCTCCCTCCCTCCCTCTCTCTCTCTTTTTCTTTCTTGCTTGCTTGCTTTCCTTCCTTCTTTCTTTCCTTCCCACCATCCCTTCCTTTCTTCCTTCCTTCTTTCCTTCCTGGCATAAAATGACTTTATTCCCATCTGCCCATTTTTTCATAAACCTATTTTTTGTTGTGATTGATGGGCAAAACTTTGGGGAAATTGCAAGGCAACCAGACTTCTATACGCTCATTATTGGAAGAATGTGACAATACCCACAATGCAAGTGTGGTTGTTAAAGCTGGGGGAGCTGGCTGGGACAGCAAAACTTTCAGTTCTGCTTAGAAAAAAAGAGACAAGCCAAATTTAATCCCAATTAGAAGATACATTTGAAGCTTTTTCAAGAAACAGAAACCATGACATACTGAGTTGATGACCAGTAATATTTACAAGTTATAAAGACAAATGGGAGTTTACATTCCAATTGTAAAGTGGAGTTTTATCTATATCTGCTATAAAGGGAATTGGAATTCTTTGTTTGTCTTTTTTTTATTGCACCTGTCATTTCTTTGTTTATTCTGTCTTCTAGCCTCCTTGACTATTTATTGTTAGGTTTTTATTTCTCCTTTTAATAAGCTAATAAAGATAATAAAGGTAAGACTCTGCATGGGATGTGCCCATCCACAGATAGCTGAGAGAGTCCTTGGTGCTCTCTGGGCTTGGTGGTTTTCTTGCAAATGTTTCATTACTCAAACTAGGTAACATCATCAGTGCTAATTTGGGGAATGAAACATCCGCAAGAAACCCACCAAGTTCAGAGAGCATCAAGGACCCCTCAGCTCCCTCCCTGCAAACCCCACTCCCTTCCAGGACTGATGATGTCACTTAATCAGGTAATGAAACGTCTGCAAGAAAAACACCCAGCTCAGGGAGCACCGGGGACCCCTCATTTCAGCCCTGAGCTACAAATGTTCCCCTACGGATAGCTGAGGTGGCCAGACATGGGGAAATCCTACCCGTAACTGGAAAGGGCAGAGGCTCTGACCATGGCAGCAGCCGAAGAGGCACTGAGCGCCAGACCCATAGAAGCAGGCCTCCACCACCACCTGCACCCCAGGGGCAGCCTACGCCCGGAGGCCTCCAAGGCAGCCCAACACGCAGCGGCAGGGGGTAAGATGGCACTGAACAGCACAACCAGGTAGCTGGCATTGTGTAGTAGAGAAATATTTACATCGTAAGTCTAGATGGGAGATCCACAAGAGGTCAAGGAGAAGAAGAAAGTTGAGGTCCTATGACCCAGACAGACAAGCCAAGTGTCCCAAAGGGGCTTTCTTTCAAGAGACAACTGGACTTTGTTTTTTCTTTGAAGATGTTTCGCTTCTCACCCAAGAAGCATCAAAGAACATCAAAAGACAACATCCAAGAAAAAGTAGAGCATCAAAGGACACTACAACAGAACACTCATCACAGCATCAAAGGACGGCACCAAAGAACAATCAGAGCATCGAAGGACACTCCAACAGCCAGACAGAAGCTACTTGAGGAAGTAATATTCATTTACTACCAAACCCTTTCATACTACTTTACTTCATTACTCATTGATTAAATGATATTTAATGATGTTTATTGATTTATTAATTGATTAGCATTGATTAATTAATTGATTGTCTAGTTGATTAATTGATTGTCTAGTTGATTAATATAGATTATTGGATAAATTCAGGAGGTTGAAATGAATGTCATAAACAAAAATTAACTCAAATGTCTTAGTGACATTTCAACCTAGAACATGTGGTTGCTCCAGTTCTAGTTTTTGGGAATTTGAGTAGCATTTTCCCTTCCCTTGCCCCCTCCCCCCTCCCAGAAAAAAAGACCATGCAGGTATCTTCTTTGCACAATGATCTGTCTGTAGCATTCTTGGTGCTCTCTGAGCTTGGTGGTTTGATGCAGCATTGATGATGTTGGAGTGTGGTGGTGGCCTAATGGTGAAGATGCTCACCTCCCCCTCGGACGGATGTTTCTCTCTCAGGGCACAAAGAGAAAATATCTGCTGCGAACTCCATGTAGGTGACAGGCAGGGCATCCGGCCAGTAAATGCTCAGTTCTATTCAGTCAGAGTGTCAGCCAGCCTGCTGCTGGCTGCCATGGAAACGGGGGGAGGGCTCAGTGGAGAATTTTTCTTTGCAGCTTTGCAACTCCAGTCAGGTCATTGCTTATCTCCCCAAGGTCATTCCTTCTAGCTTTGGTATGCAGTAGCCAGATGCTTGCCCTCTGGTTGCCTAGCTACCAAGGGGGTTGAGCTCTACAGTTTGTTTCAATTTGCTGCTTCGCACGCGTTTGCCTCAGATCTTGCCTGAAACTTGTGGCATTCAGTCCTCTCCTAGTCTCTGCTCAAACACCCTAGAAGACACACAACCTCTGGCTCCCCAGACCCTGCAGGAGGTGCCAATGAACCAGAATATGGGCATCCTGAATGCATTTCTTTCCTTCCGCTTTTTGGTCTGGTTTGGTTCAGGGTTTCTCCAGCTACCCACCCTGCGTGGATCCTTTTCTCTCCAGGGGAACGTTATTTCCACAAATCCCTATTTCTCCTCTCATTAATCTCACATTTCCCTCTGAGAAAAAAGGCAGGAGAGAAGAGTATATTCATGAACTGGAATAGAGGCATGGTAACAAGGTCAGCCAGTGAATAGGCATAGCAACGAAGTCAGCCAGTTGGGAGCTGAGACTGGAGCCAGGGCATGTCTGCAGCTTCTGAGTCTGTGCAGAGAAACCGAAACCAGTGTGTAAACTTGCCTGCCCTGTGCTCAGATCTAAAATGAAACTAACTGTTCTCTCCTGCCTTGTGTTCTGCCTGAAGAATCAACTATCTGTTATTATATAAATAAAGAAGTGAATGAATCCAGCTGAATCAGTTAGCTGCGTGTGCTTCTGGATTTGATTTTTGCAAGAAACTCTGACAAGAAGGACCCCAGGAAAGGAGCTGATAAGGTTGCATTGTGTGTTTTGTGACCAGAAACTCATCTGCAGAGACAACACCCTCTTCCCTCTGAGACTCATTCAGGGAGGGGCCCTGGACACCCTGGGAGAGAAAATCCAAACTCAAGACAAGGGCAGAGCAATAGACTTTATTATCAAGGGGGGGGCAAGTTCTTCAGAAAGAGGGGAAGAGAAGCAAGTCTAGAGGACAGAGAGGAACCAACTGCTTGACCTTCAGATGGTCTTTGTGGAAAAGAGGTTTTGCACATGAAGAAGATGGAAACACAAGATCTCAGCTCAGCTTTCCAATCAATGGGGAGCCCCCCAACTCCATCTGCAGACTTGGCTTAAGAGGGTTTCCATTTGCAGAGAAAATTCAGACGGTTGTTACAGTCTATATCAATCCAAGTCAAGAACCCTGAAAGGAAGGAACACAGGTGGTGATCATCTTAAGAGCCTGACGTGGCTTAAGATTCGGCTGCGTGCAGAGTATCTTTTCTCAAATACACCTGCCTGTCCCCTCATGGATGGTGTCAAGTACAAATAGCTCCGATACCCAAGAATCTAGTCAACTAACAGTCAGAGGTAAATTGGCTCTGGATAAGGGCCAGCAGACCTCCAGAGGACTGGACTGAGGTCTCCTGTGGTGACACAAAGACTCTAAAGAGATGACAAGCTTAACTCCGCCTTCCAGCTCAGCTACAGGTGGGGTGGGGCCATGCTGCAGGCTCCCCTCATCTAAGCGTTGCCACCTGATGGGATCTGGGAAGGGCCCATTTTCGGTGACTGCCTCCCTGCTCTAGAACAATCTTCCTGCTGAGCTACAACGGACTCGACTCTTTCATGAAGGCAGTTAAGACCAGGGTCTCTGCTTGGGGGATTCTGGGAGTTGAAGGTCACACTTCTTAAAGTGGCTAATCTTGAAAAACACTGTGTTAATCTATTTTTTTTAGTTTGCAGTTTTGGCACATCTGGATTACTTTTTAAGATGAAATACAATTGATGTTTTAAATCAGCCACACCAAAAAAGTCTCCTTCAATAGGAGCATTATTCCCAAGATCTGTATGGATATCTCCCTTTCCTTCCCTTCCCTTCCTGACTTCCCTTCTCTTCCCTTCCCTTCTCATCTTCCCTTCCCTTCCTGTCTTCTTTTCCCATCTTCCCTTCCCGTCTTCCCTTCCCTTCCTTTTCTTTCCCTTCCCTTCCCCATCTTCCTTCCCTTCCCCATCTTCCCTTCCCTTCTTTCCTGGAATTACAGATACAAACTCCAACCACCCTAAGGAATGAAGGCTTTTCATACTGACCAGATGAAGGATGGAGACAGGTGCAATACTCATTATAATGCAAGTTGTTGGGTTCATTATACCCCCACTTTCTATAGGTATCTCGTGATCCATCAACCCAGCGCCATCCAGAACACTGTGCCATGCAGAATAAAACATGTTGAGGTGGGTGAGTGGGGGACACAGGGAGGGGGAGGGAGAGAGAGATATATTTTCCAATTCTAAACATAGCTTAATTTAATTCAAAGGGGGAAGTCCTGTTAAATAGGTTTTTCTGAAAGCATGCACCACACGCCTGTTACAGAGGCTCAGTTAGACTCTTTGGGTGCATGAAGCGGTATATAAGTCCAAGCGCTATCGCTATCGCTCTTGCTATGCCCAGAATCCAAGGTCTCTGGGGCCACAAGGACACCTGAGCCTTTGAGTCATGACCCAGCTAGGAAACATCATCAGCGCTAGAAGGGAGAGGAGGAGGAGGAGGAGGAGGAGGAGGAGGAGGAGGAGGAGGAGGAGGAGGAGGAGGAGGAGGAGGAGGAGGAGGAGGACTGTGGGGTCGTTGATGCTCTCTGAGCTTGGTTATTTTCTTGCAGACCTTTCATGACCCAGCTAGGAAACATCATCAGTGCTAGAAAGGAGGAGGAGGAGGAGGAGGAGGTGGAGGACTGAGGGCGGGAGGCAGAGAGAGTGGGAGGCTGAGGGAGGGAAGGAGGGGAGAGAGGGGGAGGGAGGGAGACTGAGGGAGAGAGGGAGCATGAAGGACCCCACAGAACACTTACTACCCTTTTTTGGGGAGGGAGAATTTTGTGTTTAGCCAAGTGGCTCCCTTCATGTGACACTGCTGCTTTTAGGTTTTATTTCCTAAGAAAAGAACTTTGCATTTCCAACGGTTGCATTCAGACCCTTTATCTAACTCATCAAGATCCTTTGAGTGCTAGTTCTGTCTCTAGGGAAGACTTTCTCGGCCTTGATCGTCTTAAGATTCAAAATTCTAGGGAATTTTGAGAGTTGAAGTCTATGGCTCTTAAAATGGGTACGGTTGGGAAACACCACTCTAAGGTATTACCTTTGGGGAGGTAGACCGTGGAAGATGGGGGCAGGGGGGCTGGCATGCTATGGTCTGAGGGGTGGCAAAGTGATGGGCATGACTGAACAAGAGCAAGAAGGGTATTGTCTATGCCAGTTTAGCACTCCTTTCCCTTCTTCATTCACAGCAACTATGAAAATATTGACAAGCCAAAGATCCAGGATTAATTCTTGTGGTATCAGCTAGGATATTGTGCCCACTTCTGGCTATTGTACTTTAGGAAGGACACGGACAAATTGAAGGGTCTCCAGAGGAGAACGATCAAGATGATAAGAGCTTAAGAAGAAAACTGCCTCCGGGCATTCACCACTAGCTTTTATCCTCGGCTGACATGCCCCTAGCTGTTTGCCCCTCCGTCCCACACGCTTTGGCCTGGCCCATTCGACACCACACTGTTTGTCCCGGGATTCTGGCCACCTGGGTCAGTTAGCCACCAGCAAATTGGATAGCTGCCAACGCTGGCAGCCAGAAGCCATGGTGCGATCGATTGCAGGGGTTGGGGGTTGGCGGAGGTGCTGCAGCCAAACAGTCTCAGGCGCTTCTTAGGAGAAGGAAGGGGAGGGGGTGGAAGCTCCCCTGTACCTGATCGTGCCTCCCTGATAACGAATAAACGGGAATAATAATAATAATAATAATAATAATAATAATAATAATAATAATAATAATAATAATAATAATAATAATAATGGAAAGAGCTGCTAATTGCTCAGAGACAGGAGGACCAAATACTCACCGCACTAGAACCTGCATCTCGTCGGAGCCCAATCCAGACACAACCACGTTCTATGCTTTCTTTACTGACATAGGCACCAACGGATTTTGTCTGCTTGTCAGATTTGAAAGATGCTAAATGGCCTTTCCATCTGAACTGACACTCTTGCTGCAAAGAGACAAGAACCAAAATTATCTTAGCACCAACAAACCATGTTGTCCCTCTCATGTCTGCTACAATCCAGGTCTACCAACCCAGGAGTCCTGCAGTTTGGGCAGACAAGGTCCTCTCAGCTATGTTCCTGCAGTAGAAGTTCTCCTAAGAGGAGCTGCAAATGCGAGCACGACTCTCTGGCCCAACAAGGAAAAATAAAGAGAAATATATTGTCAAGTATTTGCAAGCCATTGGCACATATATCATACAGACACTAGTGGAGGCAGAAAGTGCCCCCACCCCTATGTGGAGAGGAGGGGCTTACACTGAGTATAAAACCCCCTCTAACCTTTCCACCATGCTCTCTTTTACGTTTGTTCTCCATGAGACATGATCTTTGATAGGGGTAGTCACACACGCTGTGTGACCCCTATCCTAATGGATATTAAGACAGCCTTTGTACATAGTTAATATGCTTTGATATATGAATAAATACATTTATCACATTTATTCATGCATCTGCCTTTGGACTCTTCTATGCTCCTGGGTGTTTCTACGATCCCAATTTCCACAGAATGGTAGCAGAGGGAATGGTAGCAGAACTCCACTCCAGGAGCTGTTGAAAAGGCGAGATGCCCTCCAAAATAACCTGTGAGAGAAGCTCCCCTGTTGTGACCAGAGGCCTTCAACGGAGGAGAACTTCACAGCAGCCCCAGTCTGAATCAACGATGGAAAACATTGAAGGGGGTTTCCATCCAGCTACACCCTGGCAGCCAGAGGCCACCCAGATGCAGCAAGAGATCCCAGGGGCCGAGCCAGGTTGGAGAAGGCTTCTTCAGCACTGACGAAGAGGGGGCAGAAGGACCGGATGAAAGCCTGGACAGGCAAGTGGCTGAGATGTCAGAAGAGGAGTGCCGAGCAGCGCTCGCCTCCCTCCTGAGGACAAGGGCAGCAGCCAGAAAGAGGCCTGAGGAGGCAGCACCAGAGATGCCTGCCATCCCGGTAAGGACTCCCCTGCCTGATCTCTCCAAGATGGCGCCTGCCGCCAGAGAGACTGCCCCCCCACCCAGTTTCCCGCCAAACAAAATGGCCGCCAGGCCACTTCCGGAGGCAACTTCCTCCAAGATGGCTGCTCCCCTGGGCACTTTGCCAGAACCACGAGCCAGGCCATCCCCAGCCCCACAGCCCAGGCCTACAACGCCAGCCAGTCAGTTCAGCCTTCCAGCGGCCCAGAGGACCACTCCGAACCCACAAGCCCCTTGCCAGGCCTCGCCTGCCACGGCAAACATCAAAGAGGCCATAGAGGCCCTGGTCGCTGCCCTGCAATTTATGGAGCAACCACCCACTGGCCCCCCCGAGGCCCCAGACCCAGCTGCCCACTCAAGAAGGGCCCCAATTCCAACCTCCCACCCCCGGAGGAACCCAGATGGACCTGCAGCCTCCCACCCCCCACTGCAGAGGCGCTCACCATTCACTGAATGCTCCAGGGAGGCCCCAGCTGAGGCCTCCGCACCTTTCCGGCCCTGCTGGGATGATCCGGAGCTGCAATCCTGCTCCTCTGATGGAGAAGAGGAGATCCAGAGACATTTCCAGGCCTACCCAGCCCATGGACCTCATCTGATGGGCCTCCAGTCTCCAGAAAGATCTCCAGGCCTTCCTCCCACTCCTCCAAGGCTTCCCCGCCACCCAGATGATGTTCGGGCCTACCCTGAAGCTCCAGCCAGACCTGACTTCAGAGCTCAGAGAGGGAGATCGGAGCTCCAACAAGAAAAGGCTTTGGAGCATGCTCCATTTCCTGCACATGCCCAGTTGCTTCAAACTACAGAAGGACTACAAAAAGGAGCCAGACCTAAGCAATCGATCCCAGGCTTAGGGATCCCAATGCCATTCACAACAGGCTCTTTTCAGCCATTTGAACAACTCCCCATGCAGTTTAATGGCAATAATTTTGTAACTTTGCCAAATAATTTTGAAAAATTACATTTAAGTGGTCAGAATTTTAAAAAATGGTGTAAAGAGATTCAGATAATTCTCTTAAGAGAAAATACTCTGGACATGATCAAAAGACCACTCCCTTTACCTTGGAGCCCTGAAATTGAGTTCCTGCATAAAAGAGCTTACACAGCCCTGTTAAGTTCTATAGACACAGCTCTGTATGCCAGTCTTTCAGACGGCCTCACAGCTCAGGAAGTTTGGACTGCCCTTTATAATTTGTTCCATAGTGACAATATGGCTGCAACCAGCAGATTGTCAAGAATTTTCCACAACTATAAACTCAAACCTGGTGTCAAAATGGGGGAACATTTGGCAACGCTTAAAGCCATGAGGGATGAGCTTATACAGAGGGGGGAGCCTGTTTCTGAATCCACTTTAATTAGTGTGATGTTGAACTCCCTAGACAAATCCTGGAGTCTCTTTATTATTTCTCTAGAAGGGGTTTCTAGGGAACAAAGAAATATAGAATACTTTTCTGGCCGCTTTATTGAGGAAGATTTAAGGCGCAGAGCTGAGGAACAACAAGAAATGAAGGAGGCATATCACAGACCTAGGCCTCAGAGGAGGCGCCAGGACACATGTGAAAGGATTAATACCCTTCCCACCTGCTTTGACCATGGCATACAAGGTCACTTTAAAAGGGAGTGCCCTCGCTCTAGGGCCAACACGGCTGGACTTAAGCACAGTAAAAATAAAAGAGGCCGTGGAAGAGGGGGAGGTGGTCATAAAGGATACCAATACTGTAGTGTCACTAGTGACAACCACACCTCCCAGATAAAGGATGCTGAAGGGCTGTGGCTTCTTGATTCAGGTGCATCAACGCATATAGCCAACACAAAGCAACGATTTCAGGTTTTACACCCACTCAAGTCCTCAGTAAAAGTTGCCACTGGGGACAAGGCAGAGGTAACTGGGGAAGGCGTGATCAATGTGCCTGGTATAGGAGATGTCACAGGGGCACTGTATGTTCCCTCAATCAAGAACAACCTTTTAAGCATCTTAAAATTGACTGAGGATAAAAATGTAAAACTGGTTTTTGAGAAGGGTGGAGGTTATGTTTTCGAAAATGGGGGTGTTGTTAGCGATATTGTAAAAATCAACAATTTGCCTTATTTTTCCCCAAAAGCAAAGGTCAAAAGGCACAAGAAACCTAACAAGAGGGCTCAGGGAGCTAACGCCCAGATAGAGCAGAAAGCTTCTGTGCCAGCCCCCAGGTTGTCCAAACTCAAGGACCCTGGACCTAAAACCAATGAAGCTTTTAAACCAGCTCCTAGGACATCCAAAGCCATTAAGGCTGAGCCCATTAAGGTCACAACTCCTCAGCCAACCCTGAGGAACTCTAAGGTGACCATTAATCCAGTGCCTACTCTCATTACTGAACAGACCAAGGCTTGTAATGGTAAGATACATAAGGTTGACAAAGTATGTATGGGTAAACCTTTACATTTGGATTGTGCTCATATATTACACCGCAGGCTTGGCCATGCCAGCTTCCCGGTTATTAAGAAAATGCAAGATTTTTCTGATGGGCTTAAGATAAAGAATTGTAATACCTATTTGGAATGTGCCATCTGTAAGGCAGCAAAATCTAAAACTGCTGCTATACCTAAGGTCTCTTCCCGTCGTGCAAGGTACCCTTATCAGCTGGTACACATGGATTTGGTTGGTCCTTTTAGACCCTCCCTTGGTAGGGGGCGTTATTTTTTAACGGTAGTAGATGATTACTCTCGTTATGGCCACGTATTTATTTTAAAGGACAAAACTGAAGTCTTTACCAACTTCAAATATCTTTACAACCAGATCCAAATGCAACACAAGGTGTGCATCGCTCAGGTGCAGAGTGATAGGGGGACTGAGTTTACATCCAAGATTTTTGAAAAGTGGATGAAGGAGAGAGGTATCCTCCATTTTAAATCATCCCCTCGAACTCCGTCCGAGAATGGCATTGTAGAAAGGAGAAATGGTGTGCTGCAGAATGTCATGAACTGCCTACTTGCAGATGCTGACATGAGCCAAGTTTTTTGGGCAGAAGCGGTCAAAATGGCTATTTATCTAGTCAACAGGACGTGGAGTAGTGCCATTAACCAAACCCCATACTTCCTGGTCCATGGAAGGAAACCTAGCCTCTCACACCTGAGAATTTTTGGTTCCTATGCCTGGGTCCATATTCCCAAGCACCAAAGAAGAAAGAGGGGCAAGGCATCAAGGAGGCTCAGATTTATAGGTTATGCAACCGGCAGCAAGGCCTCTAGATTTGTAGACAAAAATAACCTTGTCATTGTCTCTAGATCAGCTTCCTTTGAGGAGGGGTCAAATTGGTCAAAAATTCATTCCAATGAACCCGGTTATTCCCCTATTAGAAGCGACACTGAACAAGCAGCAGCACCTGAAGAGGATGAACCAACAAACTCCAAACAACTGACCAGCGAAGATCCGGATGGTGATGAATCCCTACCTGACTCTGACGATTCAGACAAGGAATCCCTGGGTGACTTCACACCTCCTGCCTCACCTAAACGACCATATCTTCGCAGCGCCTGGACAGAGGCCCGCCCCATTTTGATTGGAAAGATACCTCCGGCAGCTCCAATTCTGACACCGATGCTCCGGATGACAATGATGATGGTGAGTGGCAATTTCCCAGACGGTCAAAACGCTCCAATAAAGGGGTGCCACCCAAAAGGTTGGACATTGGCTGTGTTGCCTCGGTCAACAGCGTTACCATGGCCCCTAAAACGTACTCAGATGTCCTCCAGCTTCCCGAGGAAGAACAGCACAGGTGGAGGGTGGCAATGTAGCGGGAAATGGACAGTCTCAAAAAATTGAAAGTCTTCATCCCCATGGAAGTCCCCAAAAAGAGGAAAGCAATTGGCACCCGTTGGGTCTACAAGGTCAAGCCAATGCCCAACAACAAACTCCTCTATAAGACCCGGCTGGTAGCACAAGGCTACGCACAGCGCTACTTGCAGGACTTTGATGAGACATACTCCCCCACTGTGAGAGCGGAAAGTGTGAGGGCT